CCCAGTAGCATCCTTCACGAGCCTCCTCCACAGAGGCCGATCTTGACACCGCTGGTACCAGTCATCGGCAAGTCCACTCAGCTCCACGTCCTCCTGTACCACATCACTCCATCTCTTCTCTAGCCCGTGCCGCGCCCGCTTAGCCCCCTCAATCCGGCCAAACAAAAGCTGTTTCGGCATGCGGTGGCTGGGCATGCGGGCTACATGACCCAGCCATCGCAGCCTTGCCTGCCGGAGGAGCTCACCGATGGGACCCTGCCCAGATCTTTCAAGGATTTGTGAGCTCCTCACACAATCCAGTCTGGTTAAACCCAGGATGGATCGTAGGCAGGTCAGCCTAAATGTTTCTAACCGGCGAAGATGTTCCATTAGGGGGGTCCACGTTTCGCAAGCGTAGAGAAGGGAGGGAATGACCGTGGCCGAGAAGACCTGAAGCTTAGTGCGGAGCGACAGACCAGGTAGCTTCCACACAGCGTTACGCAACCGATGAAAAGATATTGCCGCTCGACTGATTCGGAGTGAGACCTCTGCTGTTAAACTGGAGCCAGTCATAAGCACACTGCCCAGGTATGGGAAACTCTCCACTCTCTCCACAACTGCCCCATCACCGATTGGGAGTTGTGGGGGTGTAGTGTCCGACGGTACAAAATACCCAGGCAGGTGCTTAGTTTTGGTGGGGCTGATGGTAAGGCCCCACCTCTTAGTGGCACGCTCCAGTCTCAGCAGCAGCGTCTCCAACTCCTCCTCTGACTGAGCAGCTATTACCAAGTCATCAGCATACATAACGTGGTTGAGCAATAGGGAGCCATCCCTTGACCGCACCCGGGCATCGATTAGCCTCCCATTATATCTGTACCATATGGAGATTCCCCCGGTACAGCTATTGAAGGCTTCACGAACTACGTGGTCAAAATAGATGTTAAATAATGTGGGAGCCAGAGGACATCCCTGTCGCACCCCAAGGTGTACAGGGAATGGCTCTGACTCCCGGCCACGTAGTTTTACCCGGGCCCGCTCACCATCATGAAGGTCCTTAATGATCGTGAGCAGAGGGTCAGGTACTCCAAAAGCACGAAGAACGACCCAGAGCCCAGGCCTACTGATGGTATCATAGGCCTTGACCAGGTCAATAAAGCAGAGATGTAGGTCTTGTTGGAATTCCCTACACCTCTGCTGTAGCAGACGGACAGAAAATATGGCATCTGTGCAGGACCGCCCTTTCCTGAAACCGCATTGGGGCTCCGCAAGCCTCTCCTCAGCGTGCCTGGCAAGGCGATGCTGAATAATCCTTGCCAGGACCTTTCCCGGCACACTGAGGAGTGAGATGCCCCTGTAGTTGTTACAGTCTGTGCGGTCCCCCTTCTTAAAAAGGGGGACCACCAGGGCATCCTTCCAATCCTGCGGAACCCGTCCAGTGGTCCAGACTGTTGTTATGATGTCATATAGGGCAGTCTGTGCACAAACGCCACCCTCCCTCAGCATTTCGCTTGGGAGATCATCTCTGCCCGCTGCCTTTCCTGGTCTCAGACTCCGGATCGCCTTCAATACTTCCTCAGCAGATGGCACCTCAGCCAGCCACTCACAGGGGGTGACTTCATCCAATATTTGAGGCACCGCAGCCTCAGCAGGGTCATCCTCACTTTGTGCCACGATGTTTTCCTGGCTGTGGGATTTTCCCTCCCCCAGGACCTCACAGAAATGCTCAGCAAATCTGCGAACCTGTTCCTGGGGGTCGGAAATTGGATCACCGTTTTTTCCCCTAATGATGGTAATAGGTGTGGCGCTGCAGGTTACTTTTTTGATGGAGTTAAATAGCGATTTGTGATCACGGGCCACTGAGGCAGACTCCATCTCCTCAGCAACCCGCGACCACCACCCATCCTTGCAGCGCCTCACGGCTCTCCGAACCTCCGAGCGAAGGCTGCGGTAAGCCTCCTCATTCTCTGACGTGGGATTCTGTAGCCGATGACAGTGGGCCTGTCGCTTTTTCTCAACCATCCTGAACAACTCCTCTGTCATCCAGGGTGTCTGGGGAGGTCTGGACCGCGTACCCAAAGCAGCCATTGCAGCTGCATGAGTCACAGTCCTAAACCTCGCCCATTTACCCTCGACATCAGGAGGAGTCGGGGACGATGCCAATCCCAGCCGCAAGCGATGATGAAATTCTCGCTTGCAACTTTCATCAGATAACTGAGACCAGGCCACTTTAGGTTGGAATGGGGTCCTGGGTGTACACCCACCACCGGAGTGGAAGAATGGCAGGCGCATCTTACAGATGACTAGTCGATGGTCAGAGGGCAGATCAGCTCCACGGTAGGTCCTGGTGTCAAGGACATGGGCTCGCATTCGCTGGTCCGTCACTATGTAGTCCAGCAGATGTTCTTGCTTGGACCCGGCATGCATCCATGATGTTGTGTGGATGCGCCGATGCCGGAACAGCGTGTTGGTAATTACAAGCCCATGGGCTGCACAAAAATCTAGCAGCCTCCTACCGTTGTTATTGAGCTGATCTGGCCCATGCCCTCCAATCACTCCAGACCAGGTGCCAGTATCATGACCAACTCGGGCATTGAAGTCACCCAACATGATGACTCTATCCCGAGGGGCCACTTTAGCCAGCACCTGTGACAGGAGGTCATAGAAGGCATCTGACTCATCGGCTTTGCCTGCATCCCTCCACGGATGTTCATCTTCGGTGGGGGCATAAGTAACCACGACCACCATTCCTCGCCTCCGGTTGATGGGAAGGCGAGCCCAAAGTAGCCTGGGGCTTACAGCTTCCCACACCTCACCGCCACGCTCCCACGCCCCCTTCATTCTTTTGTTCAAAAGAAGACCCACACCCTGTTGTTTGGCAGTCTGCTGCCCCGAGTAGAGGACTGTCCACCCCTCATGGTGGCAGGAGCCAGAGCCGGTCCACCGGACCTCCTGAATGCCGCATAGATCCAGGCGGTACCGGTCCAGCTCCCGACAGAGGAGTGGCAGCCTCTCCTCTGCAGTGAGCGTTCGAACATTCCACGTGGCCACCCGTAGTGGCTTTTCGTTGTTTCTGGAGTAGCCCCGAGGGTAGGTATTCAATCTCCTGGCTCCGCCAATTGGGGTTTGGCCAGGAGACGTCATAGACGCCTGGCCCCCCGGGGCCTCCGGCACAAGCTTAGTTGTTACATATTTCACTTTAATTCGTGGTTTTGTGGTAATTAATTGAAGGTGGAGGGGTTACCAGCCCCTCGCACCCGTCCAGAGCCCCCGTTTAGCCCCTGTGGTGGACACATATGCCATGAGGGGAGGAGCCAATCAAAATTGGAACTCCCCCCACAGCACTGTCCACGACAGAGTTGCCCGTCCGGCACCGCGAGGAGATACACACATACATACACACATACAAAGACACACACACACATACCTATACATACACACACATAACAGCAACAACAACCGCCATTCGCCAATAAGTGGTGGTGACGTCACCACGACGCTTGTGCCAGGCCATGTGCACCTTGAGGCCACGTGAAGTGTCGAACGCCCGCGGGCAGGAGGTCACGGGGCAGACCCAGGTGCCACGGGTCGACTGACTGAGATGACTGGCTGATGCACCACCTGTGCCCCCTACTGTGCCAAGTTGCTGTGCTTTAGCCACCGTTGTTCTTGGAGGGCGACTGCCTCCAACTGCCCAGTAGCAGCGTCCTTCACGAGCCTCCTCCACAGAGGCCGATCTTGACACCGCTGGTACCAGTCATCGGCAAGTCTACTCAGCTCCACGTCCTCCTGTACCACACATACACACACACATACTTACACACACATACACACACACTTTAACCCTCCTACCTGTACTCAGCTTCTCCACCACACTCTCAATCTTAAAAACAAATTACTAAAATAATTATTTAATTTTTCCAGTGATGTAGTAACTCATTGTTTTCAGAAGTGGCCTGGCCAACGACGTGGGCTTATCGCCGTCGTCGCCTGGAATTTTAAAGCAGCCAAATACTCTAAACGCCGTGATGTTCGTTCTGAATGTGGAGTGAAAAACTGCAGGACCATGAAAAAAAATCCACGGGGAAAGAGAAAGAGAGAGAAACGCAAACTCCAAATATTCAGCAGGTGTCCACATGATCGAGATCGAACTCAAGACTCCCTGTTTAGCAGGCGAGGGTTGTTAACGTCTCCCAGGTACTGCGTCGTCAGGGTCAGGATCGAAGCCACGACCTCCTGCATACCAGGTGAAGTAGTCAACATCTCCTAGCCACCGCGATATCAAGGTCGTGATTGAAACCCACAACTTCCTGTAAACCAGGCGAGGTAGTTAACATCTCCTAGCCACCGGGTCACCGACTGAGGATGTCAAAGCGCTGAGATTCTGGGTTCAATCTAGGGTGGTGAAAATCGATAATTCCTCACCCCCCTCTATACCCCTAGCAATGTGAATGGGTTCATCCAAGTTGAGTCTCTGAATAGCAGGTCACGTGATGGTGGTGTTGAAAAGTGTGGAAATGGGGAGCGGTGGTGCAGCGGTTAGCACTACGAACCCGGCTACTCCCGAGTTCGACTCCCGCTCAGGGCCACTGACACCAGTGACGATTATCTCAAACTGGTCCTGGGCCTCCTCCAATAGGTCTACTTAGCCTCAAATTAGTAACTGGCGTGTTGCGTAGTAAACATCACCACTGGGGAGACAAAGGCGGCCGGGTGTGGTTGCTGACCATCCACCCCCTCGTGTGCCACAGCGCCGACCTTCTTGGGTGCTGCTACTCGTTACTAACATCACTTGCCACAACTGTGTATCAGTAAAGGTGATCCTCGCTAACAGCGCTTACCCCAACGGCCTGTTACAGGCTATACGGGGGATCTTTGCCTTTGTGTGTGAGTGGGTCAGAGTGGGTCTGAGTGGGGACGCAGTGTACTCAGTTAGCACAGCGCGACGAATCCGGCGACGCCAGATCCCCACCCCACACCCCCTCCACCTTCCAATGCGTTTCTTAAACAGCAACGCAACGGGACTTCACCCACAGCCTCGCCCAACCCCTTAGCTGTGAGGCACCGTGGCCTGTGTCGCGTAGGCGAGGTCCACATCCCCTCTGGGCTCTCAGTTTGCCGGCGTTGGGGGGGGGGGGAGTTTGGCATCGCGTCGAGCACCGTTGAGCCGCAAAGTCGGAGGCTGTGGGATCTCAAGCGTCGGCTTGGTTCGTCGTCTGCGTTAAGGTGGTTCATTCTTGTTCAGATGTTTCATCCGTGTCGGGTGTTCACCATCGTTCGTTTCTTTAACCGTCTTCAGGTTTGTCCATCCGTGTCAGGTGTTCATCCATGTCAATTGTTCGTCCGCGTTTAGGTGGTTCATGCGTGTCCAGGTGTTCATCCGTATCAGGTGTTCATCCTCGTTCGAATGCTCAACAGTGTTCATGTGTATTCTTAGTTTTTTCGGTAAAGTCACGTTGAAGAGAAACAACAAAATAACAAAATATATATAAAACAATAAAAAATTCTCACGACGTTTCGACCATAACTCAAACGGTCATCATCAGGTGTGTTGAGTTATGGTCGAAACGTCGTGAGAATTTTTTTATTGTTTTATATATATTTTGTTATTTTGTTGTTTCTCTTCAACGTGACTTTACCGAAAAAAACTAAGAATATGAATTACTGCAGTCACGAAAGCTTTAAATCAAAAGTGTTCATGTGTTCATCAATGTCCGGTGGTTCATACGTTTGGACTCACAGAGAGACACATAGACTCACAGAGACCCATAAACTCACCACAGAGACCCACAGATTCGCAACAAGATCCATAGACTCACCACAGAGACGCATCGACTCACCACAGAGACCCATGACTCTCACATAGCCCCATACATTCACACAGAGACCCACCTACTTGCACAGAGACCCACAGAATCGCACAGAGATCCATAGAGTTTTACACGCATGCTTTCATGATCAATATCATGCTTAATAGAGGGTTTTTGGGGGGGGGTTAAAACCCGTCAACATCCCGACAGCCAACTAAGAAGGGTTGTCAAGTAAACAGAACATGCCAATTCGTCACGAGTACACACACCGGTGTGTTTTTAGAGCCAAGCCACAACATTTACAATCTGAGTACGACGTTTCGCCAGTAATTACAACTGGCTTCATCAGGCAACAGCCAGGTTTGTGGAGAAGTCCACCAGATTCGTTCCTTATATAGAGGCGTAGATGTGGTGGCCACGCTTCTGCACTCTTGCACAAAGTGGAGGTGGGGAGGGGGGGGTTAATGAGTCAACGTAAATTATGCAACGTAAATTATGCGAGCACTTTGATCTTGTCCTTCTCGTCTATTGTGTGTATTAAAAGAGCCGTACCAACGGTAATCCCTATTGAAGTATGGTGGCCTGTATAGGCATGCATTTAAACAACGTATTATTTAATGATTAGCTTCCACACAGCTAACCGAACGGTTAAAATTATTTTTATTTCCTTCAATTGCGATAATTTGTCTAATTATTTTGGCCAGTAGAAGCTAGTTTTGCACGGAATTTTAACGTTATCAAAATCAATTGAGTGTCCTTGTTGGTACGCATGTTCTGCTACTGCTGACAGTTGTTTTTGGGAGTATTTAATATTTATCTGATGTTCTTTTAGTGTCGTGCTGATCATTTGTCCTGTTTGCCCAACATAACATTGCAGTTAATCCTGTACGCACCTTCTGTTCATAGCTTCGCTAATACATCTTTTGTACCAGATCTTAATTTCTGCATTTTATGTACCATGCCAAACTTGACTCGGATGTTTTGTTTTTCTGGCTAGTTTATCAGTTATTCCCGCAATGTACGATATTTTGATCGTCATAATTACTTGGGCAGTTTCAATCCTCGTGTTATTTGATTTGGTTTTGACATTCAATGCCCTGTTGATTTGTGCATCATTGTAACCGTTCATTTGCAGTGCTTCTTTAACATGTTTAATTTCATTTCTCAGACTGTCACCATCTAACACTTTCTTAGCTCGATGAAAGAGCGTCTTGATAAGAGCAGATTTCTGTGCGGGGTGATGGTGTGACTGCATTCAGATAGGCGTCAGTATGCGTTTTCTTTCGGGAAACATTGTGTTATTTTACCATTTCGATCCCGTCCGAGCAGAATATCCATACATGGCAGAGTTCTGTCAGCTTCCACTTCCATGGTGAACTGGATGGATGGGTTTTGCGAGTTGAGATGATTTAAAAATTATTTAAGTGTATCTTTGCCATGTGGCCAGACCACCAATGTGTCATCCACATATCTAAACCAACCAGAGGGTTTTAGTGTGCTTGAAGCTATTGCTTTTGTTTCAAAATCTTCCATGTACAAATTTGCTATCACTGGAGACAATGGAGAGCCCATTGCTGCTCCTTCCTTTTGTTTATCGAAGTCACCTTGCCACAAGAAGTCGGTGTTCTTTAGACAGTGTTCAGCTAGTCTTGGGATATCTCTGGCTAAACCTTTGTTCGCTACCAGAGTGTCGAGTAACTTAAGTGACTCGTTGACCGGAACCCTCGAGAACAGAGAAGTCGCATCAATAGTTAAGAGAATATCATTAGGGTTAAGCTTAATATCTGTAATTATATTCAAGAGATGTTTAGAGTTTTTTTTATTAACTTAGAGATCCTATCGATATAGGGCTGTATTTGGTTCGTTACGTATTGTGCTCATTTCTATGTGGCAGAGCCTATTGTGCTAACTATGGGTCTTAATATGACATCAGGTTTGTGAATTTTTGGTAGCCCATAAAAGTCTTGGTGGTTTTGATGCCCTTGTTTTGATCAGGTATTGCTCTTCCTTGGGAATTGATGACTTGGCAATGATTGCCGTTGTTTTACGTTCCAAGGTGCTGGTTGGGTCTCGTTTAATTTAAGGTCGGTACCTTCATCGAGTAAATCTTTGATTTTATTATCGTAGTTCTCACGGGGCATCACTATAGTTGATCTGCCCTTGGCAGCAATAATTTGGATATCTTTATTTGCTCTCAATTATCTTAAGGCTTTTGCTTCACTGAAGTTAATATTTATTTTTGACAATTTGCTGTTCTCAATCATTTTGGCAACCTCATGCCTAGTCATCTCAGCTTGATTATGGGGGAGATGTCTAACTGCTAATTCCACTTGAGCAATTATCTCATCGACAGAGATTGTTCGTGGGCAACAGCAAGGTGAAGACCTTTAGACGGGACTGAAACCATATCGCTGGATAATTCAACATTAGTCATGTTCATATCAGCTGATTGCTGTGTCATTGTGTCAATTATATTCCATTGATCTGTAGACACTGTTACTAGTTTTTACGTGTAAGGACATTAGTGATTTAGAAATGTGACTCAGTTCACCTCTATGGTGCTGTATTCTCTCTTTTAGCAACAATTCACTAGCTTTATGTAGTATTTTATTATCTTTAAGTGACAATGTTATGAGTGACTTTAACTGCGTGTGGTATTACCTTTGAATCTCTGTATCTTTTGAGGAACATCAGTGAAGACAACAGCTTCATACACTTAATTTGGAGTTTCTCCAATTTTCTGGTTTGAAGAAAAGTATCCTCCCAATAGAGGTTAGTCAGTTTAACATACGTAGGCTTTCGCGACCAATATCATAATTGAAATAAATAAAAATAATTTAAACCATTCGGATAGCTACAGACTCAGTGCTATGTAGAAGCGAATCATCAAATAATACATCGTATAAATGCATGCCTATACAGGCCACCATACTTCAATAGGGATTACCGTTGGTACAGCTATTTGAATACACACAATGCACAGCAAGGACAACATTGGCTCATTAATCCCCCCCCCCCCCCAACTTGCTCAAGAGCGCAGAAGTGTGATCACCACATCTACGCCTCTATATAAGGAACGAATCAGGTGGACTTCTTCACAAATCTGGCTGTCGCCTGATGAAGCCAGTTGTAATTACTGGCGAAAAGTTGTACTCAGATTGTAAATGTTGTGGTTTGGCTCTCCAACACACCAGTGTGCTGTACTAGTGTAGTGAATCATTCCAGAGACACTATTAAGAGGCAACAACGTTTAATCTACACTTTACACCACACCGTAGCATTCGCCATACACAACCGAGTCAGGGCCGACAAAAACGCAAACCAATGCCCCGATGGCAGTTCAACACAACCCTGGTCAATTAGTATTTGAAGAGGCATTTTTTTCGAAAAGATGAGTCCCCAACAGACAAGGCACAGGCAGTGACTTTGAAACCAAAACTGGTCCAGTCAACTCAATATCACCAATCCGGATTGTCGCATATATTTAGCCAACAATACCCAAACTCCCGCCATTCACGGCGACACAAGAACTATCAACAGGTCCCAAACAAGATCAGGGTTGCGGATGCGCCGGTACCTATCAGTTCCCGGACTTCACTCTGCATCGTGCCTACAAAAGTGGACCATCCCGCCGCCACAGCCCGATGCGCCAGCGCTGTCCACTGCCCCCGATGCCACGGCCAACCAGCACCCTCAAAACCCCGCATCTCACGCGCCACGACATCATTATCCCCAGCGACTCGCGAACCAAGACATGGTCTGCGATGGAGATACCCGAGGTGACTGTTGGCCGGGTGTGTGTTGCGCCACGACTCGCCTTTTGAAGTCCGCCCAATCACTCCCAGTGGCCATGAACTCCCTCACGAAGGGCAGCCGCTTCCTCAGGGCGGGCACCTCGGAGCGTGACGTTGGCGGGCTGTCAAATTTGGCGGGAGCGTTTTCCCGCCCCCTAGCCGACAAAATGGCGGCCGCCCGCGGAGGGCTGCGGCTCCATCGCTTCCCGCGCTCGTGAATTGGCGGCGGCGTTGTCTTCACGTCTCTCCTGCCCTGGCGCTTCATCAGGCTCCTCCATTTACATTTTGGCCACGAGCGCTGCCACGGCAGACTGCAGGTCCGTGAGGCATGCGCTCCTGATCCGGTGTCCCCCTCTTGGCGGCCGCGGCAGCCGAGGTACAGTTTGCTTCACGCTGCTCAGCAGGGAGCGTCTCCACGAGGATTGTCTCCGGGCTCCCGGTCCCCGGGGCTGTCTGGGGAATCATCTCCCCGCCGTCTTCATCGTCCGACGTCTTCCTCCGCGTTGACATTGACATATCTGTAGTGGCGTATATTGAGTCACTATGGCGTCTAGCACCAGCTACTGAGGAAAGGGTGGAACTGTACGTTGTCGAGTCTCTCTCTCTCTGGTGACGGTCAGAGAGAGGCCAAGTGAGGACGTGACAGTCTGGGTGAACCTGAGAGGGCACGTGACCAGGTGAGGGTAGCGAGGGGGGGGCAAGGGGTGGAGAGAGGGACATGTGACGTGTGGCCCAGAACCTTCTAGAATAATCCAGAAGGGGGCGTGGCCAGGGGCGGAGCCGGGCTATGCTCAGGGGCATATAAGGGAGGTCCCGAGAGCCGATCCGGGCTGTCTTCAGGAATCAACCCGTGGTGCTCCGTCTCCTCACTCTTCAGTCATCACGTTTGGCATCGTGAGTCAGGGAGGTCTGAGTTAACCGTGGCAGTTACCACCTATATCGTTGTGTTCTGCAGTACCCCGTTGAGGTGTAGTAATAAACGTGTTTCCTCTACGTTCAAGTGTGTGCCTCCGTGGAAACCACTATATCTGGCGTCAGAAGTGAAAAACAAAAGCAAGGTGGTGGCCTTAGCGTGGGTAAAATGTTCACGAGACGAAGGCGACTCACCAGGGCACCTTCTGATGGGGGACGACGAAGGGGTGATTCCTCAGACAGCCCCGGAGATTGCAGCCCCAAGATATTTAGTGCAGGGGAGATCGGCCGGCGGAGCAGCGCGAGGAGCCCGACCTCTCGCCACCGCTATCGTCGGAGATAGCTGTGGCGATCGCGTGGCACCCGTCATGCCAACTTGTTTGCCGCCGCGGCAGCACTGGCTGCTGAGATGGAGCTGGGAGAGCCGGTGACAGAGGTCGGCGTGTTACTGGTGGTAGGAAACGCAGTGGACTGGAAGCCCAACCGGGATTAATTCACAGGAGGCAGGGGATTAATTGTTGTGTTTGTCTGTGGATGTCTGTCCACGTGTATCCGGACACCCGGATAAAATGGGAGGGGTGGGGCTGGGTGGAGAGGGGTGGGTGGGGAGGAGCTTGGTGGGGAGGGGAGGGTGGGGAGGGGCTGGGGAGGGTGGGGAGTGGCTTGGTGGGGAGGGTGGGGAGGAGCTGGGTGGGGAGGGTGGGGCTGGGTGGGGGGTGGGGAGGGTGGGGCTGGGTGGGGGGTGGGAGGGGTGGGGGGTTGGAGGGGTTGGGCTGGGTGGGGAGGGGCTGCTCACCCCGTGGTGCCCTTATAAAACTCAACGTTTAACCTACTCACGCCGGCTTGTGCCCGCCCTCACAGTCGGGCATATTTGCGGAACACACCACGTGGTGGTGCCGCCGTTGTTGACCCTGGCCATTGACCGAGCAACCCGACGTTCCTACGAGCTCCCTCCGCAGGAATGTGTTGGAGCCACGAAGAAACGACCCCACAGCTGCTGATTCCCGCGTGCGGCAAATGGCGGGAATAGCACGTGAGGGGGTTTGTGGCCAGCACCACGTACGGCCGCTGTTGTCTCCCCAGTTGAGATGTTTTTTTTTACCCACCACACCATTTAATAATTTGAGGTGGAGGCACCAGGACCGGTTCAGATGACCGTCATTAGTTTTGACCATGAGCATAAATTTAACCTGGGTTCGTAGTGCGACACATTAACCGCTGCACTACCACTCTCCCACACACTCAGCTTCATACGAAAACACACACAAGTGTGCAGTCAAGCACGCCCAGATTGCAACTGCAAGTGCGCGTTTTAAGTGAATGTAAAAAATATAATAAATGAATGCTTGCACATAAGTGCAAGTGTTCGTAAAGTGGGTGTTCGTAAGTTGAGGACTGTGCGCACCACAAGGGGCTTCCATTGGCAGTATGTAGCTTGGCAGGAGATCACTGATGAGCACCAATGTATACGAAACTCTGACTCGAACCCAGGTCTCCTGTGCTTACCAACGAAGTCCTCGGGATCAATAAACTGGGCAGACGACTCAGCCAACAGCTTTCTTTCCTCCTCACCTGCTTCCAACTCTCCCAGCATCCTACTTGCTGAGCTGCTGGTATGGAGAGGCCCAAACTGGAGCCGGTGCATGGAGTCCCCATGCTGGACTTCATAGCGAGGGACTGGAGCCTGGTGGAGTCGTTTAAAGCCAGGCCCGAAGACCTCCTCATAGCGACTTACCCCAAGGCGGGTGAGTATTAACAGAATCATCACCACAATCGCGATGACAATCATAATCATATAATCATCATGATCATCATCTACATCATCAAAATTACCACGATCATCATTATTATAATCACCATAACCACGATCTTAAAACGATACTCATAATCACCACCACCTTCATCATCATCACCACCACCAACACTGCCACCGCCACCACAATCACCACCATCGTAATCATCACCGAGCCATTCACAATCATCATCTTCATCATCATAAAAATAACCATCATCATTTAATAATCAACACCACTACAACCTTAATACGGTCCTCATTCCAATCGCCACCACCTTCATCATCATCATCAGCACCACCACCAACTTCATCACGACCACCACCATCATCATCATCACAAATACCACATTCTTAACACTTTCAAACAAAAAAATGTTTGTTCCTGGGTAGTAAGTGTTATTTCATAATTGTGTATGCCTCAAAAGTACAGAAAATAGCTATTATTCCGCACAAACTTTTCTTTAGTGACCAGGACAGTGATATTTTGCAAATTACATATTTTCAATGAGTAAACGGGCTAATGTGTCTTTTCGGTTCACATAAAGTCAGAAAAAGCAACAAATGCATCAAAATTAACATGTATTTATACTAAAGTAATGCAAAAATTACTACAAAAATTTAGACACCAAGGCGCACTACCACAGGCGGGACTGGTCACAGCAGGCCGAGTTCTCTGTGGGGAGGAACAATCTCGAAATACTACTCACTTCAATAACTGGTCACAAAAGCGAATTTGTGGGGAATAATATCCATTTTCTATACTTTTTAGGCATAAGCAATTACGAAATAACCCTTACTACCCAGGAACAAAAATTGTGTTACATAGTGTAATCATCATCAACACCACCACTTTCATCACCGCGACCACCTTCATCACGACCACTGCTACCACCATTATCACCACTACGACATTCACAATAATCCTAACCACGACCATCACCAACAACAACAACCGCCATTCGCCACTAAGTGGTGGTGACGTCACCACGACGCTTCTGCCAGGCTATGTGCACGTTGAGGCCACGTGAAGTGTCGAGCGCCCGCTGGCAGGAGGTCACGGGGCAGACCCAGCAGGTGCCTCGGTCGACTGACTGAGATGACCGGCTGATGCACCGCCTGTACCCTTTACTGTGCCAACTTGCTGTGCTTTAGCCACCTGGCACTCCGCTCGTTGTTGTGAGCGTCGCTCTTCCGCCCTCCGTTGTTGTTGGAGGGCGACTGCCTCCAACTGCCCAGTAGCGTCCTTCACGAGCCTCCTCCACAGAGGCCGATCTTGACACCGCTGGTACCAATCATCGGCAAGTCCACTCAGCTCCACATCTTCCTGTACCACATCACTCCATCTCTTCAGTAGCCCGTGCCGCGCCCGTTTAGCCCCCTCTATCCGGCTGAAAAAAGGTTGGTTAGGCTTTCGGTGGCTGGGCATGCGGGCTACATGACCCAGCCAACGCAGCCTTGCCTTCCAGAGGAGCTCACAGATGAGACTTTGTCCCAATCTTTCAAGGATTTGTGAGCGCTTCACACTATGCAGCTTAGTTAAACCCAGGATGGATCGTAGACAGGCCATGCTAAATGTTTATAACCAGCAAAGATGTCCCAATAGGGGGTCCACGTTTCATAAGCATAGAGAAAGGAGCACATGACCATGGCCTAGAAGACCAAAACCTTCATGTGGGTGCCAGACCAGGTAACTTCCACGCAGTTTTACGCAGCCGATGAAAAGATGTCGCTCGACTGATTCAGAGTGAGACCTCTGCATGTAAACTGGAGCTTGTCATAAGCTGGAATGGAAAAATCTCCACTCTCTCCACAAGTGCTCCATCAACAAACGGGAGCTGAAGCGGTCGAGTGTTTGATCACACAACATACCCGCGTAGGTGATCAGTTTCGGTGGGGCTGATAGTAAGATCCTACTTCTTAGTGGCATGCTCCAGTTCGAACAGCAACACCTTAACTCCTTAACTTAGTGAGCTGCAATCATCAGGTCATCGGCATATGGAACATGGTTGACTGATTGGGAGCTATTCATAGAATACCACGACTACCACATTCATCATCATAACCACCTCCATCATTATCATCACCAGCATCTTCTTCATCACCACCACTACCACCAACACAACCACCACCTTCATCACCAACACTCGTTCGATCACCAAAGCACTACTACCACATTCATCATCATCACCACCATGATCAAACATTCATCACGATCACTGCTAGTACCATCATCACTACTACATCATCATCACCACTGCTACCACATTCCTAATTATCATGGCCACCATCTTCATCACCACCACCATTGCCACTACAACTATCATCATGATCAACACCACAACTACCACATTCATAATCATCACCACCTTCATCTTGCCCCCCCCCCTCCGCCCACCCCCCTACCTCTCTTAGGCACCACGTGGACCCAGGAGATCGTGGATCTGATTCAGAGTGGAGTGGACGTGGAGTACTGCAAACGCAGCCCCGTGTACGAGAGGATCGTCTTCATGGAGTGGACAGGCTTGAATTTCATGACGCCTCGCAAGGGTGATGGCAGCAGTGAACTAAACTCAACTATTTATGTTTTACTTTAACCAGGAGTAAGTCCCCCATTGAGCTACGTAGCTCTATTTTAGATGTGACCTGGCCCATAGAGGCCTATATTCGTAGAGACCCATAGAGACCCATACTCATAGAAAACCGTACTCATAGACTCACAGAGGCTCAGAGACTCATCCGCAAAGACCCACTTTCATAAAGACAAAGACAAAGATCCCCCGTATAGCCTTAACAGACTGTAGGGGCAAGTGCTGTTAGCGAGCACCTATCAAGGCCGGAACGGTACACGAGGGGGTGGGTGGCCAGCACCACGCCCGACCGCCTTTGTCTCCCTAGTGGCAATGTTTACACACCGCACCAGGTACTCATTTGAGGCTGAGTCGACCTAGGGGAGGCCCGGGACCGGTTCAGATAATCGTCACTGGTGTTGGCCGTGAGCGGGAATCGAACCCGGGTCGCCAGGTTCATAGCGCAGCGCGCTAACCGCTACACTATCGCTCCACACAAGACTAAGAAATACTCAGATACCCACAGTTCCATACTGAGACCCATACCGCGAGGCCCATACTCATAGAGATCCACAGCGACCCACAGAAACCCATAATCAGAGACCCACAAAGACCCATAACCATAGAGACCCGTAATGAAACGAAATTATTTCCTTTTTTTTATTTTACCAGGTAAGGCCCCACTGAGCAATGCAGCTCTTTTTGAAAAGTGACTTCAAAATAAAGTAATAATACTACATCATCACCACGTGACAAATGATTGCAGCCAAGAGAAATTAGAATTACTGATTCATAATAATGGTGCTTTTAAGCTAGATCACGTAAATGTGTCAGTATTAATAATGCATGGTCTTGGGCGGCACGGTGGTTAGGAGATGTTAACTACCTCGCCTGGTGTACAGGAGCTGGTGGGTTCGATCCCGACCCTGACAATGCCCTGCTCTATATTTGGAGTTTTCATTATCCCATATAAACCAATTCGCTGAAACAGAGCTTTAGAACTCATCGGATTCCTCCAGAATGAATAAATATTCCGTGGCGAAGTACATCGGCAAGTTGGCTAGGAGATTTTACCTACCTCGCCTAGTATAGAGGTCGTAGGTTCGACTCCAAGCCAGACGCCTGCTTTATATTTTGAGTATTCGTCTCTTTCTCTCTCTCTCTCCCCTTGGTCGCGAGGATTTTTTTGCGGTTCCTCCAGTTTTTCCTTTCCACATTTAGAATTAAAATCACGCGTTTAGAGTTATTTGCCTGCAGCTATAAATTTCCACGTGATGATGATGATGATAATAATCCGCCATTTTGTTGAGCTATCATTTGTGATGACCAGGTCGCTTTTGAAAATAAAGTGCCACTATATCGCAGCTCAGTGGGGTGCCTTATACCTGGTAAAGTAAAAATAAAAGTTTAGTTTAAATATTCTGATTGTGATTGTGATGTTCCTGGTCGCGTGGCTCCAGGAGTGGAGGTGCTGAATGACTTGCCGTCTCCTCGCACGATTAAGACTCACCTGCCCTACCAGCTGGTGCCTTCCTCATTTTGGGACAACGATTGCAAGGTGGACCACCATCATCACCATCACCACCACGCTTAGTCTCTTGCCTGCTTTTCCAGGCTCACCTTCATTGGTGTCACTATTGTACTTTTTGTTAGCCAGCTCACCTCCGTGTATATTGTGTGGGTTCGAGTCTATCGAGAGAAATCGAGACCTTTCACTTGAGAGCGATACAATGGGGTTGGTCTGGATTTAATGTTTAGACAAGCCACCCTGACAGTTTTCACGTGGTAGCATATCTAGAGAACACCTCGGTGGTGCACTCACAACGTGTTTCAGGAGGACCCCTTAATCCTGACGCTCACACCTAAGCCTACGCATTCCCAAACTCAGAAACCCTTAAGGCACTTCAAGTCTTAGATGGCGTTTACCCACTTTGGGCTGCATTCACAAGCAACCTCGACTCCTGTTAGGGCTGTGGTGCGCATCGAGGGCCACCACAGGCCTGACACCCTCGTCAGAGGAGAGGAAGCCAGGCACCTGCTCCTCCTTCCCACCATAGGGTAGCGCTCGAGGCAGCCTTCCTGCGCTCATCTTCCCTCCCATTCTGATGAATGTCCTTGCCCGTCTCTGCTCCCCAACGAGCGTCCACTGAAATTCACGCAGGGAATGCTAATAGAGACTATGGTGCATTCTAATAAGACATTTATTTTTATATTCTTAGTTTTTTCGGTAAAGTCACGTTGAAGAGAAACAACAAAATTATTTTGTTGTTTCTCTTCAACGTGACTTTACCGAAAAAACTAAGAATATGAATTACTGCAGTCACGAAAGCTTTAAATCAAAATTTAAGACATTTATTCTCATATCAGCGCTCGAACCGCACAGTCCATAGTACTGCCGAGCTGCTACTGACTGCCTGAAGCTTGGCTGTCTCCTTGGACCGCTCCTCTCTCCACTGCTGGCTGGAGCCCGAGAGCAGAGATGCATGCGTCTGGGGTCATCCTGCATTGACTCTGCACCACTATTGTGTGGTAGGGGCTGGGCTGGTTGGGTCGCTCAATCGTGATTAACACCTGGATGGAATCTGGTCTTCCACCTGTTCCAAACACAATAGCCCATATTTCTGCATATCTTTTTACTTTTGATTAAAAGCTTTCGTGACTGCAGGGATTCATATTGTTTTATATTATTATTTTATTATTTTATTGTTTCCCTTCTACGTGACTTTACCAAAAGAACCAAGAATATCTTTCTACTTTTTAATTACTCCGTGAAAGTGGTTCCATCTCTCCTACCCTTTCTCCTAGAAAACGGATTTTCCACAACCCCCTTCCTCTAGACAAGTGGACCACACCATCCCCATTGTATTTCCATTATTTGTACCACGTGACAACCACCATCATCAATACCAACATCATCACCACCATCATCACCACCATCATCACCACCATCATTACCATTACCATCACCAATACCAATACCTGCCAAACGCCACTAAGTGACGGTGACGTCCCCACGGCGACTGTGCCAGACCTGGTGCACTTTGAGACCACGTGACTTGTCGAAGGCTCGCTGACCGGAGGTGATGGGACAGACCCAGTAGGTGCCATGGGTTTACTGACTGAGATGACTGGCAAATGCCTGTGCCCCGTAACGTGCCAACTTGCAGCGTTTAAGCGGCCTGGTGGTCATCGCTCCGCTGACCTCAGTTGTTGTTGGAGGGCGACTGCATCCAACTACCCAGGAGCATCCTTCACGAATCTGCTCCATAGAGACGGATCTTGACACTGCTGGTACCAGTCTTCTGCAAGTCTACTGAGCTCCACATCGTCTGGTACTGCTGCAGTCCATCTCTTCTCCAGCCCTTGTCATGCCCGTTTAGCCCCCTCTATGCATCCAAACAGAAGCGGCTTGGGTATGCGGTAACAGGCCATGTGAACTACATGACCGAGCCAACCCAGCCTTGCCTGCCAGAAGAGCTCACTGATGGGAATGTTTCCAGATCGTTCAAGGATTTGTAAGCCTGAATGGTTTTAACTGGCACAGATGTTCCATTAGACGGGTCCACGTTTCACATGCATAGAGAAGGGAGGGCATTATTGTGGCCGAGAAGACCTGAAGCTTCGTGTGGAATAACAGACCAGGTAGCTTCCACACAGCATTACACAGCCGATGAAAATATAAAGCTGCCCAACTGATTCAGAGGGAGACCTCTGCTGTCGAACCGGAGCTGGCTTTTAGCACACATTCCCAGATATGGGAAACTCTTAACTCTCTCCACAACTGCTCCATCACCAATGGGGAGATGAGGGGGTGGAGTGTTTGATGGCACAAAATACCCAGACAGGTGCTTAGTTTTGGTGGGGCTGATGGTAAGACCCCATCTTTTAGTGGCACATTCCAGGTTCAGCAGGAGAACCTCCAACTCCTCCTCTGAGTGAACAGCAATCACCAGATCATCAGCATACGTAACATCGTTCACCAATAGGGAGCCATCCCTGGACAGCACGCAGGCATCAAGCAACCTCCAATTCTAACTGTGCCAGATGGAAATTCCTCGAGTATAACCATGGAAATCTTCTCGAACTACGTGGTCAAAGATGATGTTAAATAATATGTGAGTCAGAGGACATCCTTATTGCACCCCAAGGTGAACAGGGAATAGCTCCGACTCATGGCCATGTAGCTTCACTCGTGCCTGCCCACCATTATAAAGACAGTTAATAAATTATGGGCAATCATTAACAGTCCAGAGGACTGTCCTGGTGATGGTATAATCGTCCTTGACTAGGTAAATAAAGCAGAGATGTAGGTCTTGTTGGAATTCCCTACACCTTTGCTGCAGCAGACAGACAGAGAATATGGCATCTGTGCAGGACCTCCCTGGTCTGAAACCACATTTGGGCTCCACAAGCCGCTCCTCAGCGTGCCTAGCAAGGTCATGTTGAATAATCCTTGCCAGGATATTTCCTGCCACACTTAGGGGGATGCCCCTGGAGTTGTTACATCTGTAGTGAGTTCAAATGAGTTGCAGCCGTATACTTGGAAGCAACACATTTAACACCAACACACGGGGTAACTGCCCCTTAACAGAATAACAACCTATGGTGGTGACCACCAGGCTAACTACACTAAGTACAACGTAACAAGCTACTATGGACCGGGACCACAGCTCTGGTCCAGGTCTACGTGTTGGAGACTCGTTGAACGGAGAACGTAGAACATAGACGAAGGTTTATTCAGGATGAACAACAACAACAACCCTGGTCCCTCTCTGGACGTGGCTTTTATTCTCTGTGGCGTGGCTGGCTCCACCCTTGGCAGCGACCACCTTCCAGGATCCTCGGGACGGAACTCGATCCCAACCACGTGACCCCCCTAGCCCCCACTTGGGGCCCCTTTGTGGACTTAACTGGTCACGTGTCCTCTCGGGTCAACCAAAGCACCATGGCCTTTAGTAACCCCTTTCCTACGGACGGCACTCCCACACCCTGTCCTGTAGGGGCTGGCACTGCACGCCAAGCATGGTGCCATCCAGCGCTATGAATCAGCGCTCACGGGGCCCCTCTGGTGCCGGTACTACACCCACACCATTGTGGTATCCGCGATGTCGTTACACCGCACCCTGTGCTTCTCTAGGGCCGGCGCTGCACAGTGACATCCCGCGATGTCATTACACATCTGTTCGGTCCCTCCTCCTTAAGAGGAGAACAACCAGGGCATCTTTCGGATCCTGCAGAAGCCATCCTGTGGTCCAGACAGTTGTGATGACGTCATGTAGGGAAGTCTGCATAGAGATGCCAACCTCCCTCAGCATTTTGCTTGGGACGTGGTCTCTGCCCACTGCTTTTCCTGATCTCAGACTTCGGATCACCCCTCTTAGTTCCTCCACAAATGGCACGTCAGCCTACCAGACAGAAGAGGTGGCTAGTTCTGACAATATTTAAGGCACTGCAGTCATGTCAGAGTCTTCCCCACCTTGCCCCATGATGTTATCTGGTTTGAGGGAATTCCCTTCCCCCAACACCTCACAAAATGCTCTACAAACCTGCAGACCTGTTCCTAAGGGTCGGAGATTGGATTACTGTCCTTTCCCTTACGGATGGTAAATGGTGAGGCACTGCAAGTTACTTTTTTATATAATTAAATAGTGATTTGTGATTGCGGGCTATTGAGGCAGATTTCATCTCCTCAGCAACTCGCGCACAGCCCTCATCTCTGCAGTTTCTCACGACTCTCCGAACCTCCGAGCGAAGGCTGCCGTAAGCCTTCATATTCTCCAATGTTGGATGTTGTAAACGACAGGAGTGGGCCTGTCGTTTTCTCTCAACCAGCCGGATCACCTCCTCCTTCAGCCAGGGAATCTGAGGAAGTCTGGGCTGCATACCAAATGCAGCCATTGCAGCTGCTTGAGCCACAGTCCTGAACCTCAACCATTCCCCCTCAGCAACAGAAGGAGGGGGGACAATGCCAACCATCATAATAAACGTTTTTGGGTTAGATCGCGTTATTTATAAATGTGTCGTAACCCTCCACCACCCGACACGGCCAATCAGCAAAAAATGTGTCACGTTGACAAAAGACAAATAGTTCAATACTTTAGCCCACCGGTGTGTTGAAGAGTGAATCCACAAAATTTACAGTTTGAGTACGACGTTTCGCAGGTATTTACATCCAGCATCATCGGGCAATTTGCCAGAATCGTAAAGCCCTCACTTGCTCCCGGTCTTAAATAGAGCAGCAGGGTGACGTCATAACGCGATCTAACCCAAAACCTTTATTATGAATAATATTGGTCGCGAAAGCCTACGTGTTAAAATGCCAACTTCCTCTGCAAGCAATCTGAAAGTCCTGCTTGGAACTATCCTCAGATAAGCTGCGTCCAGGCCATTGTGGTTATAAATGGGGTCTTTGATGGACACCCACCACCGGAGTGGAAGAATGGCAGATGCATCTTACAGATGACAAGTCGATGGTCGGTGGGCAGATCAGCTCCAAGGTAGGTCCTGGTGTCAAGGACATGGGCTGGCATCTGCTTGTCTCTAATTGTATAGTCCAGCAGATGTTCTTGCTCGGACCCAGCGTGCATCTGTGATATTGTGTGGATGCGCCGATGCCGGAACAGCGTGTTGGTAATTACAAGCCCATGGGCTGCACAAAAGTCGAGCAGCCTCCTATCATTATTATTGAGCTGATCTGGCCCATGCCTTCCGATCATTCCAACCCAGGTGTCTGCGTCATGACCCCCTGGGACATTAAAGTCAGCTAACAGGATGCCTCTCCAGGTATTTCTATTGTTTTTACGTGAGCATTGAAGTCGCCCTGTAAGATTATGGAGTCGGTTGGTGGCACTCTATCGACCACTGCACCAACCGTCTCCAAGAAGGGCGAATACTCTGAACTGCTGTTTGGTGTATGAGCACAGACAACAGTCAGGGTTTTTTTTTGTTAGACCCCAAGTCCCATTGAGGCCACCGTCTCATCCACTGAGACAAACTCCAACTGAATAGAACCCAGCCAGGGGCTTGTGAGTATCCCCATACCCTCCCGGGGCCTCTCAATAGGGTTTACTCCGGATAAATGGTTACGTGGGACATCCAGCCACCGTGCACTTGCTGGCGAGCACCACCCCCAGGCCTGGTTCCAGGGGGTTGTCCATGTATACCTTGTCCAGCGAGGTACTCAAGATTTGTATATTTCTGACCGATTCAAAAGGGGTTTTTTTTCAGACAGCTATTTATCTGCAACCTCCCCCCTGACATGTTCGCCAAGTGAGACACAACCAGGAGTACAAGACTCCAGGCGAAGTAGCTATGAGGGTCATTGGAACACGCAAACGCCACCACCACGATGAGGTTACGATTCTTCGGTGGGGGGGGGGGGGGGACCTTGGCTGATAAAACATTTTTTGGAGTTTTAGTCTAGTATCTACCAGTGCCACTCTCCCCAACCCCTACATCTGCTAACTTCTCCCCAGGCCATCTACGTGGCACGTAATGCTAAGGACAACGCCCTATCCTCCTTCCACTTCGGACGAATGAACCAGCACCATCCGGAGCCCGGCACCTGGGAGGAATACCTGCATCGTTTCATGATCGGCAATGGTGAAGGCACCTGGGTTACTGCAACCACAGTCCCTGCTGGTCCCCCACGACTGTACCGGTAGTGAGGAACCGAATAAATGTCACGTGGCCTGCAACTTAATTGCACCATGAACACGCACACCTACACATGTAGGTAAAAAAGATTCCAAATTTAGCCTTAACAGACTGTTGGGGCAAGTGCTGTTAGCGAGCAGCACCTATAAAGGTCGGCGCAGCACACGAATGGGTGGGTGGCCAGGACCACGCGCAACCACCATTGTTTCACTAGTAGCAATGTTTACACACCACACCAGTTACTCATTTGAGGCTGAGTCGACCTAGGAGAGGCCCAAGACTGGTGCAGATAACACTGTGTAACATTTATTTATTTAATGTTCCTGGGTAGTAAGTGTTATTTCCTAATTGCTTATGCCTCAAAAGTACAGAAAATGGCTATTATTCCCCAAAAAACTTTGCTTTCGTGACCAGGACATTGATATTTTGAAATGTATCGATTTTCCAGACAATTTCAGATAGATTCAGTGCTGAGTAAACTTGGAGTATCTTTCTTGATTTGAAGCTTTCGTGACTGCAATAATCCATACTTTTTGGTTCTTTCGGTAAAGTCACGTAGGTGGAAAATAAAATAAATCACGACGTTTCGGGCACAACACAAGCGTCCGTCATCAGGTGGGAAAGCATGGTCTGCTGCTGAGGCAAACTGTTTTAAAAGGTTTGAAATGGGTGTAGCCCTAGGGTCATAAAGAAGTGGCTGGGTCTAGTGATGTTAATGTGAGAAATGAGCATGTAACTGTAAGATAGGAGAGCAGCCTCCTTGACCAGGGCACGGAAGTGGCTATGTTAATGTGAGAGATTAGCGTGATGTTAATGTAAAATCGAAGAGTGATGCAATCCAAAGGCATGAATGCAACCCAAAGGGTGAAATCCAAAGGGCATGTGAGTATGAGAGTGCAATCCAAAAGACATGCGAGCATGTCCTTTGGACTGAAAGCCGAAACCATGGGGGTTCTATGGGAGGGCGAAACATTAACCTCAAAAACCGTTATGTCACACTGTTAACCCAGGGACTACTGAACAAGTCAAATACTTTAGAGACCTGACCAGCCAGCTGACCTCGAGGGATGTAATTTAATTCACCCTGACGTGACTTTTTAACGTGCCAACGCGGTCGCTCCACCTCCTCCTACCCGCAGTGTGCTGGGGCTCGTGGTATGATCACGTGACTGGGTGGTGGAACGTGAGGGAGCGGCACCGGATTCTCTACCTCTTCTTCGAGGACATGAAGGAAGTAAGGTCGCAGAGCAGTCTAGCACATAAGTAGCACGGCTCTCTGGCTTCAAAATGACTTTTAAAAAATATTAATCCATTAGTTTTATTTGGGTTAGATCAGGTAGATATAAATGTGTCATTAAACCCGCCACCACCCGACACAATTAGTAAGGTTTGGCACGTAAACAAAACGTGCCAACTAGTTACTAGCTCAGCACGCCGGTGTGTTGGAGAGTAAACCCATAACATTTACAATATTAAATTTTGATTTAAAGCTTTCGTGACTGCAGTAATCATATTCTTATCTCTTTCGGTAAAGTCACGTTGAAGGGAAACAATAAAATAACAAAAATATATAAAACAATAAAAATTCTCACGACGTTTCGACCATAACACAAATGGTCATCATCAACGTGACTTTACCGAAAGAGCTAAGAATATTTACAATATTCATGTTTGGGGGACATGGCCTGAGTCAGAACCAAGTCAAAGTGGTCATCTTAGCCAATGCCACCATATCTCATTGTTTTTATTATTATTATCTAACATAAACATTCAGAGGTCTGGGGGGGAGGGAATTGTTGCCTGGGCTGAACTTGGTTGACGCCACAAGCATGAGTTGATGCATGTGTACGGGACTGTACAGACAAAGTGCTAGAAGGCATGGGTTGAGATAAATAGGAACAGATAGCCAGAAGACACTCGACTCCCTATTCAATAAAGATCACACCTGTGATAGGAGAGTGGGGGGAGGGGGGGGGCACTGTCCAATAGGGGCGGGGCCAAGCGAGTATATGAGGGGAAGTGAGGCGCGCAGTTGAAGCGCTCGCTCCAGGACTAATTGACGACAAAGGTGGACGACATCGGAGCCGACTGGTCGTGAACAACTTTGGTGGAAACCATCGGGACTGAAGAGAGCCGTAGTAATTACGGGTGTGGCAGTGGTTACACTAAGAACTGTAAATAAGTTATGATAGAAATAAAGATTATACTTCTACAAAATTAACTTTTCCAAAAAGAAGCTTCTTTGCACTGTTGGCAGCATTAGGATTCAGTCTACGGTGTCCCGTAAGAAGACCCGGAGAGGAGCTTCATTGGAGGAAGAGGCATCGTCCCTAAGCATCCCAGGTCCCACTAGACCCAGAACCCAGCGGGAGCAGGACCCCGCTGGCTGCTACATTCCCAAAGGAGGTGGAGGCCCCGCCACAGACCGGGGAACCAGAATCGCTGAGACAGGAGAGCTGGAAACAGATAGCTAAGAGACTGGACCGCCTTACCTATGCAATTGATCAGTTGCTTACGGTGATCATCGAGGAGAGAAACGGTGATTCAGCCGATGATGCTGCGCGGCCTGAGCAGCCGCCGATCCTCGATGTTACCGAGCCGGAGCAGCAGCTAATTCCCATAGAGCGCCGAGTCAACATTGTCGTCCTGGAGATTTAGCCACCGCTTCCCCTTGCCATGTGATGAGCTAAAGCTCCAGGGATGCAGCTGTCGCCTTCCCTTGCAGCACAGCGGACTGAGACAACAGACCTGGAGCTGCCGCACCCCACCTCCCCGCCCCCCTTTGCAGCGCAACAGATGGGAGTCGATCAACCTGTCCGGCCGCTGTCACGAGTTGCATCGCGAACCTCTACCACCTCGCCCACGCTGGAGCGACGTCCAGCGGTGATCCTAGCCAAAGATGAGTCACACGAGCTACCACCACGGACCTCCACTGAAACAACCCGAGATCTGGCAGAGCGCCTATGAAGGATGGGATCCTTGAAATAATTTACGGTTACCGGAGGAGACTGGGCAGCATTTGTTAAAAGATTCAAGGTCACCGTCAAAGTCAGCGGATGGAGCGAGGAGGCCCTTCAAGCACTGCCCATGGTGCTCGATGATGGAGCGATGATGGCCTTCTTCATGATTATAGAGAGTCAGCGTGCCATGCTATGACAGGCCGATGGCATAACGTTACACCTTGTTGGCGTTCACAAATGTGGCATTCCCGTGGATGGACAAGTCAGCCTGGCATGCGCTGGTGGTGGAGCGAATGCAAGGCCTCATCCAAGGGAGTGGCCTTGTGCAACCGATTGTTGCCAGAGAGCGACCAGACTTCGATGTGGTTCGTCAAGTGTCTCCGAGAACACGAAGAAGCAAGAGCGCTATTTCAGGTGGCGACACAGGGGACAGAAACGACGGAGAGCGGAGGAGCCAGAGGACCAAGCGAACCGACAGGAGAAGCGACAACAGCGGCCCCTACCAAGTCTAGTGGTGGGTAATGATCTTCAGGCGACCTTGGAGGAGATGGCAGTGGCCATCCGGGAAATGAACAGCCAAAGGCGTGACCAACAGCAGCAGCCATGGCAGACCGACAAAGGGACCCGGGATCACGCGACGATCAACTGCTACCACTGCAGGAGGCCGGGCCACATCGCAAGAGGATGCTGATAGTGAAGTCGACTCGGAACAGCAAAGCCATCTCCGAGCAACATCGTGGGACTTCACAAGAAAGAATCAGGAACGACCCCAATGAAGATCAGCAGGATGGGGGAGGCCGACGGAGTCATCCAAGAAAGCACCGGGGTGGAGCGTCGCTTGTATGGACGTTTCATTCAACCACACACACACATTGATGGATTGCAATGGACATGAGAGTCGCTTTACCGAAAGACCCAAAGAATAACGAGAGTACCTTTGGTTGGGCATTGCCTTGTGTTGAAATGTCTCTTCTTCACAGAGTTGTTAATGTAAAGGTAAGCTTATTGGACCATACCTTCGGTACGCAGTGGTTATTGTTGATCATAATACCTTCCCCCCCCCCCCCTTGCTTCAAGGACAAATGTTCTGCTATGACCTCGAAGTTAAATATTCAACATTCCATGTTCCCAGGGAAAATTCCTTCGTGAGATCCCATCATCCACTTGTGTCCAGTCCCCCTATCGTCAAAATTGTCGTTGTAGTGTGAATGGGTATGTTTCTCATTGGGCAGGGGTGATGTAAGGGACTGTACAAAGAAAGTACTACAAGGCCCGCGTTGAGATAACTAGAGACAAATGGCCAGAATGCACAGTAGTAATTATTCAATAAAGAACACGTGTAGTATGGTAGAGCGGGGGAGGCGACTGTCCGATAGGGGGGGGGAGGGGGGGGGGCGAGCGGGTAAAGAAGGGGGAGTGAGGCTCACAGTCAAAGCGCTTGCTCGGGGACTAATCGATGACCGAGGTGGACGACATCGGGGCCGACTGTTTGTGAACAACTTGGTGGAAACTATCGGCGCTGACTGGTCATGAAACAACTTGGTGGAAACCATCGGGACTGAAGAGAGTCGTAGTAATCACGGGTGTGGTGGTTGTTACACTCTACAAATACGGTGCGATAGAAATGAAGTTTCTACTTCAACAAAATGGACGTCTCCAAGGACCTTCTTTACACCTGTATTTATGTAGACTTAAAACTTTCGTGACTGCAGGAATTCATATTCTTGGTTCTTTCGGTAAAGTCACGTAGGTAGAAAACAAAAATAAAAATTAAAAGCAAAAACCCCACGACGTTTCGATCGCAACGCAAGCGATCTTCCTTTTTTTCTCTCCACCTCAAGAAGACCGCTTGTGTTGCGATCGAAACGTCGTGGGGTTTTTGCTTTTAATTTTACTCTTTGTTTTCTATCAACGTGACTTTACCGAAAAAACCAAGAATACCTGTAAATATTAATTATCTATTGTGAGTATTAATTCATTATGCACCGTGGAAGCCGTAGGGCAGTGGTTAGCGCGCTGTGCTCCAAACACAATCCAACTTCGATTCCTGCTCACGGCCAACACAGGTGAAGATTGTCTGAACCGGTCCTGGTCCTCCCCTAGGTCGACTCAACCTCAAAATGTGTACCTGGCACAGTGTGCAGTAAATGTCGCCACTCGGGGAGACAAATCTGTCCAGGCGTGGTGCTGGTCACACACCCCCACGTGAGTCGTACTGACTTTCATAGGTGCTACTCGCTAACAGTCAATTGCCCCAACATTATCTTTAGACTATACGGGGGGAGGATCTTTGTCTTTGTATTTTTTTTGTGAGCAGGCCTGGACCAGGGATAGGGCAGCAGTCCATAGGGTAAATGCCACTCTAATGTGTAAGTTTCATTGCTTATTTATGCTCTCAGTTGGCTATTAAGTCCCCTGTAGTATTCGGAAACCCCCACTCATTAGTTATTTTCGACCCATTCCAATGGTAACAATAATGATCGCCATGGACAATTTGGGGCCGTCTGTGTGTCTTTATAAAATGCCTGGGGACCCGATTTATTTAGTCCCACAGCCTCGTTACTGATTGTGAACATAATTCTCCCCACCCCCCTCTTCTCCCACTGTGTGTGCTGAGGACCCCATGCGTGAGGTGTCCCGCATCGCTCGCTTCCTTCAGCGGCCGCTGTCCGAGCAGCAGCTGCGTGAGGTGGTGAAGCTCACCTCCTTCCCCGTGATGCGCGACAACCCCATGACGAATTACAGCACCGTGCCCACGGACTTCATGGACCACTCCGTGTCGCCCTTCATGCGCAAGGGTAAAGATCCCAACGTTTTTGGAGGCTCAGTCGGGAGACACGGTGATAACAATGAAGGTGGTGGAATCAGTGATGGGGATGATACCAGAGGTGTGGAGCAGGAGGCTCGTGAAGGACGCTGCTACTGGGCAGTTGGAGGCAGTCGCCCTCCAGCAACAACGGAGGGCGGAGGAGCGACGCTCACAGCAACGAGCGAAACACCGGGCAGCTAAAACACAGAAAGTTGGCACAGTAGGTTGCACATGTGGTGCATCTGCCAGTCATCTCAATCAATCAACCGATGGCACATGAGTCTGTCCCATGACCTCCTGCCAGCGGGCATTCAACATTTTACGCGGCCTTAAAGTGCACATAGCCTTGCACAATCACTGGTGACTCCACTTAGTGGCGAATGGCGGTTTTTGATGGTGACGACATTGAGACAACCCCATGACGAATGACAGCACCGTGCCTCGGCGACACGAGTTAAGTTCCGGCTCACGGCCAACATCGGTGATGATTATTTGAACTGGCCCTGGGCCTCCCCTAGGTCGACTTAAATGAGTACCTAGTGCGGTGCGTAAACGTCGGCACTCGGGAGACAAAGGCGGTCGGGCGTGGTGCTGGCCACCCATGCCATTGTGTGTCTTCATAGGTGCCTAACAGCACTTTCCTCACAGTTTGTTAAGGCTATACGGGGCATCTGTGTCTTTGTTTTGTCTTTGCAGGGGAGGTGGGTGACTGGAGGAATCACTTCTCTGCTGCTCAGCTAGAGGCCTTTGAGCAGCACTACAAAGAGAAAATGGCCACCACTGACCTGCGCCTGAGAGACAGCCTGCCCTGAAGGGCAGTGTTCCTCCCGCTGCTCCTGCCTGTATCCATTGAGTGATCTGGGTTAAAGTAATGATATAATAAAACCAATTTCATGTAATAAATATAGAGTAATTCATGCTGATTGCATCCCACAACGCTGTACAATAATTATGTCCACAATCGCATTTAGGGCTGAATCGTATTTTAAACAATTATTAGGCGAAGGAAAACCTCCAGGTAATAGGGTTGTCACTCTCTGAGTTACAAAACAATCGAGACATATCATGGGGAAAAAGAAGGCAATCTCACAATTCCAGAAGAGGCGAGAAATTCACGTAAATGCCTTCTTTTGAACTGCGCAATATTAGTAATATGCAATTGACTCGAAAGTACAGTTGATTATCGATTATCCGGCGCGCGATTATCCGGCGCGCGATTATCCAGTTTCAAACATTATTTGGCGGTCGCGGAACAATACGGCGAAACCGGTAAAAAACTGCTCCAAAGGCTGTACCAGTCAGGCGATCGTCAAACACAAGCATGTTTCATCTTCTTTGGTTCTTTCGGTAAAGTCACGTAGAATGAGAATAAAATAATAAATTGATAAAATAAAATAACATAACACAGCGCTGTCCTACCAGACAGTCTCGTCCCTTCACCTGATGAAGGCCGCTTGTGTTGTGGCTGAAACGTCGTGAGAATATTATTGTGTTATGTTATTTTATTTTATCAATTTATTATTTTATTCTCATTCTACGTGACTTTACCGAAAGAACCAAAGAAGATGAATCATTGCAGTCACGAAAGCTTTAAATCGAAACACAAGCATGTTGTTGAAACAAGAGCAGAGTACTACATACATCTCCCCATGCAGTCTTCGAGATTGGAGTGGTAAGGTACAGTAAATACAGTACATTTTACATGCAAAATAACTAAAAACAGTATGTTACGCAAGAATGTGCATAAATTAGCGATTTTAAATAATGATGTGATTATACAGCGTTGGGAAAATCCGGCGCCACCTTCCACCAAAAAGCTGCTGAATTATTGGTGATCTGCCGTATGTGACTTTGAACTTCCCCGGGGAAGAGTTACGGATTTCCTTGGGCAGATACCTCAGCTAGAAGACGATCCTGGCAAAGTCAGGACAGGTGGCAACTCTAGTTTTTACATGGACAATCTGAATTTGATCCAATTGGATTATACGTTTACATTTTTATATCGATTTAATTTTCTTTGATTTGGTTTGTACCTGGTTTAATCTGTGATTAGTCTGAGTTTGCTTTTTTTAATCCACTCTTGATTCATCTGGGTATGATCTGGACTTTGTACATTTGTATCTGCCATGGTTGTATCTGATACATCAGATTGAAATAAATGTGACTTTACTCAACTCAATAGTGCAGGGTTCACAGTCGGACCACATTCACTTTGGTTGGCACGATACACCAATAGCACGAGCTCACTATCTGGCGGTGCACCGTGAAAGTGGTTTCAGTGACAAGTCATCGCATGGTGATGTAAAATTCATACTCTTTGGTTCTATTCGGTAAAGTCACGTAGGTAAAAAACAAATTAAAAAATAAAAGAAACAATTAAAACACGACGTTTCGGAGGCAACACAAGCTTCCGTCTTCAGGTGGGACCAGTCACAGTCAAAATCACTGCACCAAGTGGAAGGTCAGCGGTCTCGATGAGCTGTGACTTCTTGTCTCGTTGTCTGTTAAAAGCTCTAACAGATAGGTGAAAATCTTCCCCGTAGAAGTTGTTAATTCTAGATTTGAAGCTTTATTTTCATTCGTTTTTTACCTACGTGACTTTACTGAATAGAACCAAAGAGTATGAATTATTGCAGTCACGAAAGCTTCAAATCTAGAATTAACAACTTCTTAGGGGAAGATTTTCACCTATCTGTTAGAGCTTTTAACAGTCAACGAGGCAAGAAGTCACAGCTCATCGAGACGCTGACCTTCCACTTGATGCAGTGATTTTGACTGTGACTGGTCCCACCTGAAGACGGAAGCTTGCGTTGCCTCCGAAACGTTGTGTTTTAATTGTTTCCTTTATTTTTTAATTTGTTTTTTACCTACGTGACTTTACCGAATAGAACCAAAGAGTATGAATTCTTGCAGTCACGAAAGCTTCAAATCTAGATGTAAAATTAAGTCACGAAATCTGAATTCATCGGATAAGAAGCTTTTGTTGGTCATAATTGGATCAGCTGATTGGAACGTACAAGTAATGTCTATAAACGTAATGATCTCTATCAAGTAGTGCAGGGATGATGTCGAGAATTTGATCATTAAACCGCTTCTGCGTGGCTACGAAAAGCTGCATTTTAAATGTTAATTAATATGTATCTCTCATCACGAAATTAGTTATACAAATATTCAACGAAATATTGATTTTAGTCAACGAAGACTGAGTGAGATGCAAATAATCAAACGTGATGATGGCTACGAATACTGCCCACAAAGACAAATACAAAAATCCCCCCATATAGCCTTGATAGAATGTTGGGGCAAGTGCTATGAGCGAGTAGCACTTGTGAAGGCCAGAACGGCACACGAGGGGGTGGGTGGCAAGCACCGTGCCGGGTCGCTTTTGTCTCCCCAGTGGTGATGTTTACACACCGCATCAGGTACTCATTTGAGGCTGAGTCGACATAGGGGAGGCCCAGGACCAGTTCAGATATTGGTGATTGTTGTTGGCCATGAGCGGGAATCGACTTTGGTTTTCCGGGATCGTAGCGCAGTATGCTAACCGCTGCACTTCCGCTCCCCACTACTACTTCCCTTCACCACCATCATCATCAACACTCAACATCGTCACCACTACCACCTTCTAGATTTGAAGTTTTCGTGACTGTAAGGATCCATACTCTTTGGTTCTTTCGGTAAAGTCACATAGATGAAAAATAAAAATAATAATAATGAAAATAACTAAATTAAATCACAACGTTTCGGGCGCAACACAAGCGTCCGTCATCAGGTGGGAAAGCATGGTCTGCTGCTGATGCAGACTGTTTTAAAAGGTTTGATATGAGTGTAGCCCTAGGGTTATAAAGAAGTCGCTGGGTCTAGTGATGTTAAAGTGAGAAATTAGCATGTAACTGGGTACAGAAGTGGCTATGTTAATGTGAGAGATTAGCATGAAATAACAGCTGGCTCTTTGGGACATTCTGTCTACAGAAAGGCCACCCACACAGATTCCTATCTGAAGCCTGATTCCCACCACCATCCGGCACAGAATAATTCCCTCATCAAAACACTACACCATAGGGCCCACTGCATTTCTGACCAACACCACCTGGCCAGTGAATTGGAACATGTTCACCGGGCCCTTAAGATGAATGGATATTCGAACCATATTATCCGAAAAGCTGTCTCTCCAACCATGGATAAACAACCCCCTGAGACTCCGATCAAAACCATCACGTTACCATACATAGCAGGCGTTACCAAAAAGATTGCCAAAATCTTAAACAAACACAAGATCCAGGTCCGATTCAGTACAGTACACTAAATCCGTGATCTGATCCCATCCGTAAAGGATGTCATCCTTGACTTACAGTACCCTGGAGTCTACAAACTGAGTTGCACTTGTGGTGACTGTTACATTGGGGAAACGAAACGTGATATGTCAGAACGTATTCGCGAGCACAAGGCAGATTTGAAACACGGCAGGACGAACTCTTCGGCCGTGGCTGACCACTGCTATAACGCTGTGGGCTCTCATGATATTGTTTTCTCCGACACCAAAGTGCTCTGCAAGACGTCTGGATACCACCAAAGATTTGTCCATGAAGCCATCCAGATATAAAAACATGAACACAACTTCAACCGAGATGATGGGTACAATCTGAGCAATCATTGGAAAGACGTTATTAACCAGGTAAAGTCTTAACTGACTGTGATGTTTCCATCCTACCTGCCTATGTCAGTTGTTATTTCATGCTAATCTCTCACATTAACATAGCCACTTCCGTGCCCAGTTACATGATAATTCCTCACATTAACATCACTAGACCCAGTCACTTCTTTATGACCCGTGGGTTACACCATTTCAAACCTTTTAAAAGTCTGCATCAGCAGCAGATCATGCTTTCCCACCTGATGACAGATGCTTGTGTTGTGCCAAAAACGTCGTGATTTAATTTAGTTATTTTCATTTTATTATTTTCAATTTTATTATTTTTATTTTTCATCTACTTGACTTTACCAAAAGAACCACTACTACCATTATTATAATTTTTACTATCACTAACATTAACACTACCATCATCAACATCATTTCCATGGATGTACTGGTGGAATTTACACCTGGTATAGATATAATGAGAGACTGAAGAATCCCTGAGGGAGCTAAAGGTATCGCTCCTTAATATTATTTGGGTTTTTCGGTAAAATCACGTAGAACAATTTTTGTTTTTCACAAAAAAATATGGGCGTTTGAATTGCTCTGTGTTACGTTGTAACCATCATAACCGATGCCACTGACATTTAAATTTCTGCATGCAGTTATACTTTATGGCGTTCATATACAAGCCTTTTAATCCCCAGGGCGTTAGAACTGCCCTGCGCAACAGAATAATTGGTGTTAGAACTCTGCTGTTCAGCGGAGTCCGTGGCTTTAGAGACCAAATCGCTGGCGAGATCTTCTGGCCACCCAGATACAGTGAGCGTTAGAACCTCTCTTTTCAGCCAGGCCAGTTGCGTTTGAACGGGCGCCTTCCCTCTTGTCACTGGCAGTGACATGTGGAATGATCACACTCGCTTTAGAACTGGTGTGTGTGTGGTTAAACCACTGGCATTAGAACTTCCCTGTGTAGACAATCCACCGGCGTTAGAACTCCCCTTTGTAGCCACTCCACACTCACCAAGGGCGAGGACGAAATGGATGAGAATGAGGAGGAAGGTCCCCGTCCCACTGCTGACCCAAAACTAGTGGAAGAGACACTGGGCCATCCACCCGAAGAGCCTGAGCAGGAGACATCCCAGGCTATCCCTGACACTGGGGGAGAAGACCCCGCTAGGCCATGCGCCAGCCTAGCCGCTGCAGCTCTTCCAGCTGAGCCGGATGGCGGGGAGATCGACTCATATCGGGACGACTGCTTCAGCGTGGAGAGCGAGAGCAGCCAGGGGTCGACACTCTTTGACCCTCAGACTCCCCTGGTCTCCCCGGAAGATCTCTGGCACTTCCACGACGAGACCAACCTGAGGCTGGACAGAGATAACATTGCCTTGGCTCGATGGAAGGACATCAAGGCAATAAAGGCCTCTGTGACTCAAGCCGAGAGACTCCTTGCCAAGCAGGGACTCGAGTCCCGGGGCAAGGAGAGGGCAAAGCTGAGATATTTCCGCAAACAAATTACAAGGTTGGAGGCCACCGAGGCAAGGAACAAGCAATGCCTATGTACATCGGCTCCCTAAACGTGAGCGGGTGCAGGGAGGCAGTGCGGATGTTTACCGCAATGTCTCTTGCGAGGAAACTCGCTGCCTCTGTCTTCTTCATTCAGGAGACGCATCTCACGGTCGAGGACGAGGATGACTGGAGGAAGGAGTGGTGAGGGGCCTCCTTTTACAACCACCTTGACAACACCTCCTGTGGAGTCGCGACCCTGTTTGCTAAATGATTTCATCCCGAGCTCATCAC